AAAACAAACAAACCAGTGTTAGCTTGGGGACATTTGGGAACATGTGTAAGCCTTGAGCCTCATACGGTCTTCCAAATCTCTCCCTCCCCTTTTCTTTCATTTCGTTAACATTAAAGAGGATTTATGCATAAATAAAAAAGGCCTGTGAATTAAATTTTTTTCCTAATCCCATGTTAATAAGTGTCTTGATGGGATCACACCTGTTATGTATTTGTCACCCCAAAACTCGACTACATGCCCTCAATAACACTTTACACCAGTGCTTTCCGAATGTTAGTGTGCATTTGATTCACCTGGGGATGGCTGTTAAAACTGTAGATTCTGATTCAGTAGGTCTGGGAGGGAGCCTCTAATTGGCCATTTCTAATTCCCAGGTGATACCCAGGCTGCTGATCGGGGACCATACTCACACTTGCCGGAGGAACAGAGATGCAAAACAATTTAAATATGTTGACTCACTTCTGAAGGCTAGAGTGAGATTTATTATTATTATTATTATTGATCTATAATTCACCTGCCGTAAATTCACACTTCTTAAGTATACAATTCAGTGGTTTTTATTATGTTCACAAGAGTGGTGCAGCTATGACCACAATCAACTTTAGAGCATTTTCATCCCCTCAGGAAAAAAAACAACCCATACCTATCAGCAGTTACTCCTCACTTTCCCCAAGTTCTATGAAGGATTTAGAAGAATTTAGGCTAAGGGTAGAAATGCTGAATGCAACTTATTTTAGACATGATGGGCAGGGACATCTTCTCTGAGAAGGGGATATTTGAGATCCGACTTGATGAGTCACGCAAAGATACAGGGAAATCGTATTCTGGTCACAGGGGGTGGCAAAGAAAAGTCTTTGAGGATAAAATGAGTCTGGCACATTCGAAACTTTAGGAAGACATGCATAGGTGGAGAGCGGTACCCAGGGGAGAGAGTGCTGGAAGGTGAGTTTGGTTTTCACTCTCATTATCAGTCATTGACCTATATTGTTTTGTTTCTAGAAACATGTAGTGTTGGTGGTGAATTGAAGACAGCCGTGAACTCTTTGACACTCCTCCCACTGAGATAGCAGATTTCTGTCTCCTCCCCCTTAACGTGTGCCCCACGACTGTCAGACCAACAGAATACAGAAGTGACCCTGTGCCAAGTTCTGGACCGAGGCATTAAGAGATCTGCCGCTTCTATGTTCTGCTGAGTGGAACATTTACTCTTAGAACCTATTCTCCATACTATAAAGAAGCCGAGGACAAGGGGAGAGGTGATGTGCGGGTCAGAGGTGAGCTGCTAGCCTGGGTCACCCGCCAGCCATGTCCATGAGGCTTTGAGACATCCAAGCCCACTGAGCCCTCAGATGGCTCTGGTTCTAGCTTTCGTCTGACTGCAGTTCCATGAGAGCCCTCCCTGCACACGAGAACCACCCAGCGGAGCCCAGCCAACCCCACAGAACCATGAGAGAGATTGTGAAGTTACTGTGCTGGGCCCTTTCAAACTGGAGCTTCACCTCCTTCAACTTTGGAAAATATTCTTCTATTACTTCCTTGATAATTTCTTCCTTCCACATTTTGGTTCCATGTCTGCCTCTCTGTGAATGTGATATGGGACCTCATGGATTGATTCTCTAAGCCTGTAATATTTTTTCATATTTTAAGTCATTAATTCTTTTTTTTTTTTTTACATATTTTTTGTTTGCCTTCAGCCTTCTATTGAATTTTTTATTTCAGACTATGTGGGAGGTTTGGTTTTTGTTTGATTTCAGCTTCTGTCTGCTCAGCGGGCGTCAGGGGAGGATGGGACAAGGGGAAGGCACATACTCTGCTTATGCCTGTTTTTAATTTTCAAATATTCAGCCCCAGTTCTGTTCCCTCCATTGTTCCTGGGATTTCTGTCCTGGGTCTGCAGTGCAGACTGGGTCTTGTTGGGGCTGAAATCCCGCCACCTCCTTTGACCCCAGCTCTAGGCTGAGCCTCCTGTGTCCTCCATGACCAAATCTCAGTCTCCTTCCCAGCGTCCACAGACATGGACCAATCGCTTGACCAAGGTGCCGTCCCAGTTTGCTTTCTTAGAGTTCCGACAAACTTAAAAAAAAATCCCTGCTGTCACTTCAGTGAACTCTCAAAGGAAAGGAGCTCTGCCTGCTTCATTAGCGAGAGTTTCTTTTTCACTGCGTAGGGAGAAAATAGGCTGTAAACATTATCCTTTTATTTTTATAAATCCACCTGTTTGCTGTCATAACATCACTTTGAATTATTTTCCTCTCAGAATTTTAAAAGAATCACCAGCTCGAAGCACTGCCTGAGAAATGTTTTTTCTCGTGTTCTCTGCCATATGCCAGTCATTTTCAGCAAGGCCGCATTTATGTGAATTTACATGGGGCAAGTAAGTAATGCGCAATAAAAATATTAATGGAACAGCACTTTATGAGCAAATTTGAAAATTTCAAACCTCACCAGATTAAAACAATCTTTTGCTTTGGGTAATTAATTAGAGTTTGAGTGGAGAAGCATTTCAAGGCTGGCGGGTCACATGAAGGGTTAAAGCAGCCCTGAGAGTGTTGCCACACGGTGGCGCCATTTCAGCCGCTGAGCCACTCCTGCGGTTTCTTTCTTTTATTTTTTTTAAGATTTTGTTTATTTATTTGACACACAGAGATCACAAGTAGGCAGAGAGAGAGAGAGAGGAGGAAGCAGACTCCCCGCTGAGCAGAGAGCCGGATGCGGGGCTCGATCCCAGGATCCTGGTTTCATGACCTGAGCTGAAGGCAGAGGCTTTAACCCACTGAGCCACCCAGGCGCCCCAACTGCTGCAGTTTCTTATGGGAAAGGTGGGAACCACCCTGTTCCTGGGCACTGGGACTTTGACTTGTGATCTCAGCGTAATTAAACAACAAAACAACAAAACCAAACAAAACAAAAACAAAAAAGCTTTCTTACATCTCAAGGCATCTTCAACCAAGCATTATGTGTTAGTGCAAATGCAAGCGCTGAAAACTGCTCCTGGTTGCGTTAAGTGGGAACCGAAGGTAGAGGCAGAAGAAAGACCTGACCATGGGACATGCCAGGAGGCCACTCACAAAGGCGCCCTGCACAGCGGAGGGGTGATGCTGGGGACATCAAAACTGGTGCTAAGGAGAAAACCCACCCCGGCGACTGTAGACCCAGGCCCTCTGGAAGTATCTGCTTTACCTCTATGCTTGTGCTCGTAGGAACATTTGCGTTCTGAGTGTTGAATTACCCAAGAACTTCAGAAAAAAGTCCTGCCAAATGTGATCACTGCGAACAATTCTATTCCTGAATAAAGGCTTTCTGTTTGCAGAGAGCTTTTATGTACAACGTCTTGTTTAGGCCTTGCTGGGCCCATGGAGAAGGTGGGCGGTGGGGCAGTTCCACATCCGATGAGGCTCGGGGACACCTGCTCCAAGTCATGGCTGTAGAGGAGATGAACGAGGGCCCAGGCATCCAGCCCTCAGACTCCTCCTTCGGAACCCACAGACGGGGCCTCTGTATGACAGGCTCCTTACAACCCAATAAAAGATGTTGAATATGTAAAAGATAAATAAATAAATAAATAAATAAATAAATAAATAAGTGTTATGGTCAATTGAATTCAGTGCCTGAAAAGCAATTTTGAAAATTAAACATTTCTATTGGAAATTAGATTACTTTTAAAATTTTCTTTGAAAAATTATTATTCACATGAGGTACAATTCCTAGAATAGAAAAACATGTGGGGAGACAATCTTCCTCTTTCCCTGTCCTCAGTTCCCACCCCTTCCTGGTGGCAACCACTCACTGCCACCAGTTGCTTGTGTGAATTTCCAGAAAGTCATTATTTTATATATTTTTACACATATTATAAAATAGTGTAGGGCACCCAGGTGGCTTAGTCAGTTAAGTGTCTGACTCGATTTCGGCTCAGATCATGAACTCAGGGTCATGAGATCGAATCCTGTCTCAGACTATGTGCTGGGCATGGAGCCTGCCTAAGATTCTCTGTCTCCTTCTCCCTATGCCTCTGCCCCCCCAAAAAATAAAAAATAAAAAAGATATATATAGAGCAGTATGATTTTTTTCAGAGCATAGAATTAACATACTACATATAATGTAGCATGCACATAGATTTATACCTTTTTTACACAGATGGTAGCATTATACATACTGTTATGTACCTCAATTTTTTTTTCCCACTCACCAATGTATCTTGGAAAGTTTTCACTGTTGGCACCTAAAGGGCTCCATTCTTTCTAATGGTTGCTTTGTTTTCCATCATATGGCTGCACATTTAATTCATTCAGTACTGATGGAATTTTAGGTAGCTTTGTCATTTAGAAATGCTCTAAGAGTAACTGCTCATCCTCCCTTTCTGAAGGGAGCACACTGATGTTTTCAAAAAGGACAGCCTGTTTTTTTTTAATTAATTAATTTATTTATTTGACAGAGATCACAAGCAGGCAGAGAGGCAGGCAGAGAGAGAGAGGAGGAAGCAGGCTCCCTGCTAAGCAGAGAGCCCGACGCGGGGCTCGATCCCAGGACCCTAAGATCATGACCGGAGCTGAAGGCAGAGGCTTAACCCACTGAGCCACCCAGGTGCCCCGGACAGCCTGATTTTATGAGGTCAGGAGAAGCTGACAAAGACCTATTCCCGTTTACCAGAAGCACCTCTAATTTTATAGTTTTTCATTTTGTTCGGTTTTTAAGGCTGCTTTGTTTTGAAAAGTGGCTGGTCCAAGCCAAAATACAGAACTGCCCCAACCAAATGCAATTTGCAGCCCCAGGCGGTTGAGACGGGATCCGGGTCCCCAACAAAATGTAGAGTGAGAAAAACAGGGAGCTGCAGACTCTGGGCACCTGCAAGCTCGCTGGCCTCTGTTATTCCCCCTCAGGGTTGCAGAGCCTTCTGGAAAGCCGCTGCCTAGCCTGGGTCAGATTGCTTACACGCCGCTGCTTTCCGGGCCAGCTTTCCCAACCTTAAGCCAATGCACATTTATAGAACACTTCCATGTGATCCTGGGGGAAGACAGACCACGGGCGGAGGGCAGTGCTGAGAAGTCCTCACATCAGGAAGAGAAGGCCTGTTCTCAGCTCTCCTCTCCTCATGCTCAGAGCACCCTGGGTAAGTACGTCTCAGACCGCCAGCTTTCTTCCTTTGAACAAGGTGTGGCTTTAAACTGGTTTGGCTACTGAGATTAGAGGGAATAAATGCATTTCTTTCTTTTCTTTCCTTATAAAGGGAGATGAAAGGCACATTTGTGCTTCTCATTGCCACGTTTCCCCACTCCATGGTCTCCTAGGCTGCATGAAATGTATTTTTTTCTTTCCAATAAGTGTCTCCTTTTGGTAGGATGAGTCCCTGTGGATCTAGACCTTGGTCCCCTCATTCTTGAAAAAGGGTTTTTTGGTTGGAGGAGATTTCATTCTTCTGGCCTCTGTTATGATTCTGCCCCTTGCAAACTGGATTTTCAAGTATTTATGGTTCTGCGGACTGATGGTTTCATAGACCCCCTGAGGCCTCAATACACCGAGACCTTAGGGACACTAGTTATTTTAAAACTCCTGACGGTGTTGACTTTGACATGTTTGCAGTGTTTCTCTAGACTCACACAAGTACCTTTTCTGACCAGTTTTGGTGCTGTGGCTGCCAACTTGAGCCGCCATGGGATTTCAGCAAACACTGTGTTTCTGAGTCTGACTTGGTGTCGGTTAGAACTGACTCATCAGGCCACACCGAAGGAGGGCAGAGTGCTGAGCCTCATTTGAAAATCTTACAGCTTAGTGAAAGCCAGGGTAGTGCATATGTGTTGTGTGTGCATGTGTGGGTCTATTTCATAGGACATTCCATGAAACAGAAATGACCAGACTCAGACTACATGCCCTCTCATGTGTGATTTCTGCATATGCATGTGTGCAGGAGGCAAACCTCCTCCGGTTTTAGCTGCTGCTCCCCAACTGGCACGCTGTCCTTCCTAGTGAGTACCTGTTGGCTACTTTGGGATTGTCCTGCCCTCAGGTCCAGCTGGCAGGGCCCCTGGCCTCTGTCCGTGTCCTCCTGCATGGACACCAATCCGAGGTGGGTCTTGTGGTTGTTGGTGGTCGATGTTCAGGACAAGGCTAACTGTCAAGTTTTGCTTTAAAAGTCCACAGGGTTTGGTTTTCCTATCTTGTTGCTCTGTTTATACGGGAAGATTTGGGAAGATCCAAAAACTCGGCACCCACAATGTTCCCAGAGTGCCCCTTGTCGGGTTTGTCATTGCAGTCAGGAGACGGGCTTGCTTCTGCAGCAGCTCTAATGGGTAGTGATAAGGGTCTGGCCCAGAAGTAAAGGGAATGGGAGGAAAGGGACAGTGAAAGACACTCCGGGAAGGAAGAATCCAGAGGTGTCCGTGAATGTGTATTAGAGAGACGAGGAATGAGACAGAGGCGACATTAAAACACAATCATTCATCCCTTCCGTCCTCTCAGCAAACACTCAAGTGACCCCATGTACCAGGTCCTGGGAATGAGGGTATCGTTGTAAGCCACTCTCACGTGACCCTGGAGCCCGCGGAGCACCTGGGCTGGAAGGGAGGCAGATACCGAGCTGAGATCACTGTGAGATGCAGAATTACCATGAGGGCCCCAGGGGATGTGACTGAAAGACCACCGTCCTGTAAGTGGAAATCAGGGAGACAAGAGAGGGTTTGGGTTGAAGAAGAAAGATACACATTTATATTTCACGAGGTTAAGTGACTGGGCATCATCTAAGTAGAAATCTCCGCCAGAGTTGAAAACACAGTGGGTGCAGGAGGAAGTGAGGAATGGAGGCCTAGATCTGGAACCTTCTGCCTGGACGCTGTGGAGGAAGTTATGGGAACAAAGGGAAGCTTCTAAGGAGACCAGGCTGGAAGACAGAGCCTGGGTCTTATTAGACAGTTTCCCTGAGAGGGTGGGAGGAGCCACTGGAGAAGGCCAGGGAAAGCGGGTTTTGTAGCGCCTGCATAAGAGGACAGAAGTTCAGGGGAAGTGGGGGCGACAGTGTCACAGAGGCTGTGGAGATGTTGAGGGAGGGTGAGGACGGAGCGAAGGCCATAGTCTGCAGATCCTGGCTGCTTCTGATCATGGTGTCCATCAGGAAGCATCAGGTGAAAGAAGAAGAAACTCACTGTGAGTTGAGAAGACACCGCTCTGGGCTGTAGCAGCTCCTTGCATCCGGGCTTCTCCGCTACCACCTGCTTCCTTCCCATCTGAGGGTGGGCTGGGGTCTGCTTCCTTCCAGTCTGAGGGTGGGGGGTGTCTGCTGGGCTCCTCACCTTGCTCCTCCCTCAGGTCACCACGTGTCGTCTCTAGGTCTTTCTGGCACTGATCCTGGCCTCCATTCCTCATTGCCTGGCGATTTATGCCCCACCCATCTTGATTAACTTCCAGGACCCCTATTACATATCAAGAGAGAAGATCTGACTGGCCCAGCTTAAGCCCGTCAGCAGTGTCTTAGGAAGGAGGTGGTTTGGTGGGGTAGGCAGCATGCTGTGTCCGTGGGAGGTGGCGAATGAAAAACGAGCCATTTTCAGAGTAAAGGTCAATGGCAGGCCCTCAAAAGTTGCCTGCGCAAGCGTCTGATCTTATGGGACTGCAGCAGAGACGCTGGTTGCAATGATGGGTGCCGCTACGCAGACGCAATGATGTGCACCGAATGGGCACACCGAATGGGCAACACCGGGGTGCCAGGACAAATGCATCGCACCAGACTTTGGGGTGCTGACCTGTAGAAACCCAAACTCACTAGAATGCAGACCGTGCTCTCCATCTCTGATTCCCGAGGAGATCAGAAGCCCCGGTGAGACGGTCCACCCCAGCACAGGAGGTCCTATCCCAGCACAGAGGGCAGGGCAGGGGACCGAGATCCAGGTGACAACACCAGGGAGCAGCTGACCCTGTCCAAGAAGACCACACTTCATGGGCTTGTCTGAACCCTTTGAGAGTCACTGGACAGTCCATGACCTTTGTCCTGGGGTCCTTAATTCTGCTCTGTTTAGAAGCGGTCGATATCTGTGTTTTTATAGTCCTACCTGCTGCGGCAAGTCTGGGCCTGTGTTTCAGCCTCATGAAACGGCTGCATATGGCAGGAACAACTCAAGAGAGTGGCCACCTCGCCAACCTTTCATAAATGTTGTTAATGAGGGTGATTAAAATTGACAGAGCGGAGGGAGCCGCTGGGATGAGTGAGCGCTCTGAGTTTGTGACCTAAAAAGGGGAAATTCTGCTCCGCTCTCAAGTCAGGGAATGGCCTCAGCAGAGCCCCGTGCCAGAACTGATGCCAAAGAATTATAAAGAGATTAAACCCAGTGAGACAGGCTGTGTTCTAGCAAAGAGAGCTAACCTTGTGTAGTTGAGCTGCTCACATGGGTTCGGGAATGACTAAAATTGGTTGTGTCTCAGTATTCTGGGGCTCCAAAGAAATTCCCAGCCTCTACCAAAGAACTGCCTTTCCTCAGAGTTGTTGCCTTTCATGCTTATTGAATCCTGAGTTGCAAGGCTTAGATCGTGAATGACTTTTCTTTCTGGCTGTGCTTGTTTTGGGTTAAGGGACAATAAAGGGTATGGTGTGGGTACGGCTGGAGTGGTCATTTGTGAGCGGGGGCAAGTTTTTCATTTTGAGGGGACGTGGTTTTATTGGTCAGTCTGGGGGCTTCAAAAGCAAGGCCTTGTATTCACTTCTGGCCATTCAAAAGCCCACTCCTGCGAATATGTTTCTGCCGAAGCAGATAACGAGGCTCAAGTTAGGATCTGACAGAGTTATCTCGCCTCTCGTGTTTCAAAGCAAACAGATGAGACAACCAAACCTTGAGTCCTGGTCAGTCACAAGATCTTCCTCTCATGTGTTCCAGTTCTTTGAAGAACATGTGGTGATGTTATTGTTTGCATCGCCTGGTGGAAGTTTCGCTGTTTGGCATGTCTAGGATACGCTTCCCTCTCTCCCAACTCCAGCCTGCTCTACTGCTCCGGGACTGCCCATGCTTTTGCAAATACCTCTCCCTCCTTGAGCCTAAACAAGAAGATTCAGGTTGACTTGTCTTGGTGAACAGGTGTGAGGGGAAATGACGCAACCACAGATGCCCACCTTGGAGAGCAGCTAGATAGAGGAGGAACGAATCCCGTGGGCAGTCAGTTGTTAGTACCAAACCTTATCAGCTGGGCAGATCCTACCCCTAGGGAATTCAGGAAGTTATCCTTTGGGAGCTGTGTTTGTACATGGCAAGATGAGTCCTCGACCCCACATTCTGGAAGCCAGGTAGTGGGCAGACACATGGTCCTAAGAACCAAACCAGGGTGGGTGGGTGGTGAGAGAGGGGCTGGGGCATGGGAAGCAGTGCTTGGGCTGAGCTACCCTGGAGGCACCGGGTCCCACATCTAAAGTCCAACCAGGAAACTTAATCATGAGTTTTAGCTTCCTTCTGTCTTCTCTGCTGTTTTCCTATAGAACTAGGTCTTCCTGTGATTTCCACAGATTCATGGAGGGCCGAGGTGGGCACATGTGAAACTGCGCTCTGGGATTGTCTGACTTTCCTCTCGTTCACAGTTATTTTGAAGAATGCTTAACTGTCTCTATTCTGATCTTCAAGTTATCCTGAGGGTCTGGTGGTTGCACACACTGACTTTCTCTTTCTCATTGTTTTATATCTTTTTTTTTAAAGATTTTATTTTATTTATTTATTTGACAGACAGAGATCACAAATAGGCAGAGAGGCAGGCAGAGAGAAAGGAGGAAGCAGGCTCCCTGCCAAGCAGATAGCCCGATTCGGGGCTCGATCCCAGGACTCTGGGATCGTGACTTGAGCCAAAGGCAGAGGCTTTAACCCACTGAGCCACCCAGGCGTCCCTCATTGTTTTATATCTTTTGGGGAGGAAGCATTGGGATGTAGGTCACTACTCCAAAAGCTAATTAGAAAAAAAAAAAAAAACAGGAAAATATGATTAAGATGTTCTTTTTGTTCTTGTTGGAAAACATTATAGTCTGAGCAAATGGGACTTAACAAAGTCTTATTGATAAGGTAATTATTACTAACCTTACAGTTTAAAAGATAAGTTTACATTAAAATTGTCTGAAGAACAAAAGTCTTAAAAAGCTATTTTCTATTT